TCAATTCAACCCCTATTGGCAAAAATTATTCGGTTGTTCAATGAGCTTCATCGAAATCCCAACGTATAGTATAGTATTATATTATATATTATATAATATATTTATAGCATATTATATATATTACATAGTGTAGTCTAATATTTATATTATATAGGTAGTATATTTTTTATAAATATTATTATTATATAATATAACATATTATATATATATATATTATCATTATTGGGGAGATTTGTGGAAGATTTTAGAAGTTTATGGAGAATTCTTTAGGTCCATATTTGTATGATCAAATTAATCTCCACCGTTCATTGAGAGGGTGGAAGCCCATATAAATAAGCCTTGGTGTAACACCATAAACCCTGATTGAGCCTAAAGTGTTACATTAGGCTACTGAGGCAACCCCTGATACTCAAAACCTATTCATTTTATTTTCAAACATATTGAATGGTATCGTAAAGTAAAACATGCATATTGTTATAAAAACTAAATTACAAAACAATAGCTCCATGACACATAATTTAGAATCAAATTAATACAACTATGAGTACAATAAACTGAACACATAAGTATGGTACTATGAATACATATGCCCACTAACTACGGTACGGTACTCTGAAGGAGATGATGGAAGTTCTACTGCGACGGTGTTCCACGAACTACTCATGCTACTAACCTTCCAACGGAAACATCCAAAGGCTGAGCTTATAAAGCCCAACAGTATAATCACTAATCTAGAGCAGTATAAGAATTCATAAACCAAAACATGCTGAAGACATGGTACTAACCTACTTAAAGCTTAGTTGTCCTATCTCTGAAGTGGAGTCTCTAACTAATGTTTGACTATGCTATGCATTATCTAAATGTGATACTGGCTCTATCGTGCATTATATGAATGCAATACTGATTCTGTTGTGCATTATCTGAATGCAATACTGACTCTGTTGTGACTCATACACAAGTTGAGGTATGCATCATGGTGCGACTGAGGGGTTAAGGTATACATTGAGATTCGATGAAAATTTATGTGGTTCATATTTTGTAGACAAATGTGACATTGTTATATAAGCTAGTAGTATAATTTTTTGTAAAAGAATATTTTTAAATATGTAAATTTTATTTTTTTTAATTTAAACGAATGTTTTATACATCGTACGAATTCAAAATTATAAGGTCACGTAAAATTTTAAATTCTAATAATAACACGTAGGACTTTTTAAAATGATGTCAATTTAAAAAAAATCTTTTCTTTTTTCGTTTTAAAGTTGGTTAGAGAATAAAACAAAGAGACATGATGTGGGGCAATAGATTTATAACAATATATAGTCTGAGTATTAAAAAAACATATTTAGATTAACTTCAGCGGAGTATGAGTTTGTGTTTGTGTTTGTGGTAAAAATATATAACCTTATCTAAGATAATAATATAATTTTATTTTATACATTTAAAGATAATTATTATAATATTTATCTTTATATCTTTTATATCTCTGTTTCACAAAGTAAAATTATATATTCTGTCGGGGATGGGTGAGGTTAAAAACTTTTACTTATATTTGGGATCGGGTAAATTTTTTTTTACATTATTAGCGAAGAAGAGCAAGTCTTTTAAAAGAGTACGTACAAGAACTACAACTTTTGCCTCACACACTGGCTGCAATGGAGGCACTGTAGCCATTTCTATCATCAAAGAACTTATTCCAAAGCATAACGCCGCCATAGTTTGATGATCTTTTGATAACCGGAAGAATCTGAGAAGTCAACACATTCGGCTGAATATACCCGCTTCCTGCCGCTGCCGGTGCCGCCGGCAACCCCATAAATATATTCCCCCGCGTTTATCGATGAAGTCCACAGGTTCCACGAGTTCAAGAGGTTGTTGGTGTTGCCCGACGCGTATTGGCATTGCGGGTTGTTATAAAACTGAACCCAAACGTAGTCAAAGAGGCCCGTGTTAAGGGCAGCCCCCAAGTATCTGTCCGGGAACGGACACTGAGGAGCCGCCGTTAAATAAACCTTTCTCCCTCGGTTGCTATAAGCCGATAGATAACAAGCGAGTTCATCGTAGTGTCGAGTCGAGCCGAGCTCGATATCGAAATCGATGCCGTCCAACACGGCGTTACCGAGGGGACGGGCACGAGAACTGCCACCGAGGAAGTTGTTCCATAGGTAAGTAGCAACGTTTTTGGCGTCTGCTTTGGAAGCCAGTGTGTAGCTTCCGGCGCCGCCTCCGATGGAGAGCATGACCTTGATTCCTTGGCTTTGGCAGCTCTTTATGTCGTTGCTGATAGCGGCGCAACCGTTGGATGCTGGATTACAGTGACCGGCCAAGTTGATTACCGGGGTACTACCATTGCCGAATTGGACAAGGAAAGCTATGTTAACGTAGGCATATCTGCCCGTGGCACATGTAGCTGCTAAGGTGCCCTCGTTGCCGTTTTGGCCCCAATAGATGGCGATGCCACCACTGGCATCGGAAGTTCCGATCAGTCCTGGAATTCCGATATTGATGTCGAGTGCATCGGAAGTTCCGATCAGTGTTGAAACTAAAACGAGAGAAAAGAACATTAATTTGGCTAGAGATTTTGTTGCCATTTTTGCTAAAGATGTGTGATTCGAAATGTGCTAATGAGCTTCATCTTTATAGGCAGTAGCTACTGAGGCCCTTCGTGCCCCCAATTATTTTTGTCTAACGATTATTTTAATTTTTATTAATTTAAATATGTTTAAATTTAAAAGTTATTAATTTTCAAATCAGACTATTTGATTCATCTCCTTATTTAATCTACACTCGGACCCTTATTCAGCTCCATCCAATAGGATCAAAGTCTTCCCAAGCCAACAAATAAAACGGCATAGTATGGCGGTGCCCGTGATTTGTGAAGTAAAAAAAATGAAAAACAGACAAAAATATAGTGGTTTAATTATGCTCAAGTCACTCTACTCTTCAGACTTTCAAAGTTCTATGTCCTCTTTCTTGTAATTTCAATAATTTAATTTGTCTCTGCTTGTTTGATTTAAAATTATGGTTTAAATATTTGATGACATTATTTTCTTTATTAAATTAAGGTGATTACAAAATATTATATGTTCTAAGTCTTCTCAATCATTTGACAATGAACGTTTAATCGTCTTTGTAATCATTGATACTCGAATCCGAGACTCTTAAAAACAATAACAATTTATTTAACCGCTGAGATAATTTGATTTGTGCATATTTATTGACGTTATTAACAGACATTTCTTAAGTTTAAATATATGACACTTTAATAATTTTTGTACAATTAATTAATAATTCGTTAGTTATTTCTTCCTTCACCCACTTTTGTTGGGGAGAACATGATGTGATTACTTAAATATTTCACGTATTCAATTTTGTTTTCTTTCTCTTGACAAATTAGCATTGTACTTCGTGCCAACAAATTATTCTTCCAGCTACCATTGATTATAAATTGTTAAGATATTTCCATGTCAAACAAATTTAGAATATTCAAAACAAAAATATTAAAATATTATTAAAAAATAAGTTAATATAAAATTAGTCATATTTTTAAACTTGAAAGTGTACTAAAATACTATAGGACCTAAGCATTTTTTTATTAGATTAAAGTAACTATAACATAATGTTTTTTTCTGAATATTATTATTCAATAATGAACGTTCAATCATTTATGGTGTAATTATAGGATTTAAATGATTATATGTCCTAAAATACTATAGAACTTCAGCATATTAAGCTCAATTAAAGAAGATACTTCTAATGATTTTATAGTGTTAACTGATACTCTTTGCTTGAAATATATATATAGTCGGAGTTTATACAAGGGCATAGATGGATTAATTGGAGGAAGATAATTTTAATGTACTACAATTCAATTTAATTTTCATCTAAAATTTATCATGTTTAACTTAAAATGTTATATAAATTTATAACATTTTTTTATTGTAACAATGAGATTTCGGGTTTACAACCGAAAATATTGTAAAGAACACAATAATTTCGATTGTAACTTGTCTAACTAAAAAAATTACATTATTGATAAGATTTTCTATTGCAATCGATCTATATCGTGTTTTATCCTTATATTGATACATTGTATTCTATAATTTCTTAATTTATTACGATTGCTAAAGGTAGAGGTGTTCTAATCCGAGTGCCTGAGATTTTCGAGTCACAAAAAAGTTAGGTATCCATAAAACTCGAGTACCCGATTAATGTTTATTTTATTTTTTAAATTTTGTATTATTTTTTTTTTTTTAAAAATCGCATAAAAAATGAAATTTAGGACTTAAAAGTTTATAATACATAACATAAACATAAAATTTATAAATTCAAATTATATAATCTAAAAATAAAATTTTAAAATATAAAATAGAATTATAAAATTATAACTAAATTGAAAATAATTTAAGATTAAAATAACTAATTTAATAAATAATTTAAATATTAAGGTGAAATATTTTGAAAAAATAGAGATTTAGAATGTTAAGATAAAATAGTTGTGAAATTAGAAATGAAAAATATAATTTAAAATAAAAAGAGTAATAAAATAAAAAAAGAGAAACCGAGTCAGTGGGTCGTTGGGTACCCAGTTAAGGGTAATTTTGTGGCCCGGGTCTGATTCAGAAACTCTCCAAAAATAACCGGTCGGAAACCCAACCAACAAAATCAAGTATTTATCTCCTAAACACCTGGTAATTTTATATCGGATCGACGGGTCAACGGATCGGATATTTTTAAGCACCTCTAACTAAATGAAACAGTGAAATTTAGGAGATATGATTGTCTAGATACGTGAGATTTGATCGGGTTGATCTCGGATTGGGGAGGAATGACACGATTTAGTAGAACTCATAGTAGAAGAAGAAAGAAGAGATAAAAATTAACGGCTTAGATCGATTCATACTGGACTGGATCCGAATTTTAGTTTTTGGGGGTATAGGGCTGAGGTTTCTCTGGAGTGGTTGTTTGTATGGACAGTATATGTAAATTGCGCTATCTAAATGCAGTTTAAAAATATTTCACTTTCTTGCAGATTCCCATTGAAAGCTGTTAAAGTGATGCATACAGTTGCTCTACGAACTGAAGCAACCATATCTGGTGGTGAATTGCCACCTAATCTCCGACAAGTTTTTAAGGTCACTTAACACGCTGTGTGTACTTCTTATAGCTTTCAGGCCTCTTTTTTTCTTTGTATCTTTGTTAGTTTTCTTAGTACTTTCTTTTTCTTTATCACCTATGAATACTGATGGGAGTTACTTCTTTGTAGAACCATATGAGTGAAATGTTTGCATATCATGCAACTATGATGTCAAATACTCTTGGAATTTCCACTGTGGTCTTCATCAGAACTGGTTTCATGGCTATATTACTTAGCCATTACCGTCCTTCTGGCACTATTTTTGCCTTCACAAACGAGTGAGTTTCACCCATTCCTGAATCTGAAATTTGTTACAATTGTTTAATCCCAGTTAAAGGCTCCCCCCTTTCGTTTGTTACTCGTCTTTCTGTCCAATTTATTCTGTATTGTGGCATGTTACTGGTCTATCCATTTGAGTTTTGACTTGGTGAAGAAATATTAATCCAACAACGTAATGGGGTGAGAATATCTATGAACTCACAAGTGCAATAGTAGACTAGTAGTGTATGGCCAAACAATATCTATGGCTACCATTACTGGGTTTTGCAGTCTTGAATGTCAGGCTGACAAGTACTTTAATGGTCATGCAGGAAAAGGATACAACAAAGATTGGCTTTGTATCAAGGAGTATGCCCCATATACATGGAGTTCTCAGATGATGCTGAGGAAAGCTTTAAAGATGCTTTAGCTTTGCTACAGGTAAAGTTTTACCAAAAATTTCCTTATGAAAGTTCCCCTTAATTGGCTGCTAATATAGTTGATGTGATTGTTCATGCATCAGTTGGTCACGTTTATTTTGGAACCTAGGATCAAGTGGTTGTTCTGAGGTATCCAGTTGAATTGATCAAAATGTGTAAATATTTCAAAACCTTCACGTATTATCCGATAATGGGGCGCATCGATGCTTGCTGGGTTTTCAGTTCAAAACTTAAACTATTTTGGATCCATTTTTAGTCAAATCCATACCAAGGATTTTTCATGAACCAATTTTGAAATGTGTTCACTTGTAGTTATAGACCTGTACCCCGGGATACAATTCCCATCTGTCATTATCGAATAGAACTCGGTCCATTGATCATCTAGGTGCTGCTCGTTGCATTCTTCCATTGTTTCCTCGCAAAAACGGATCTATTCTTCATATATCATGCTAGAACTAATATGACTGATGTGCAGAATCAAGGAATGGTTAAGGGAGAAGAGGTGGCACTTGTTCAGAGTGGCAGACAGCCCATATGGCGATTCCAGTCCACTCATAATATTCAGGTCCGCCAAGTTTAGAGGCTGAAGATTAATGGAAATGGAAAATCCATTCGACTGATCCATCTTCTTCATGCAAATTATCAGAATTTCAAAAAACCACAAAGAAGAAGAGAGTTTAGGTTAGGTTTCTGTAGCTTCCTTCACATCATATGATTGGTAAGACCTTGTGTTTTAGCCTGTGTTGTCTTGTTTATTCTGGCTTTTCTTCTCTGTTTGCTTCGAGATTTTCTGGTATGTTTGGAACGAGACAAGCTGATATTTACTTCTTTGTCATATTGTATACTAATCTCATTTATATTTTTATATATATTATGAACAAGGATTGGTATCTGATATGAACTTGACGGTTATAATCTGATCCTATAACATCATTTTTATCTTTAAAAATTTAAGTTCGAATTCGGGTTCAAGACAAAAAGAAATCAATCTTCATCATGCTAAATGTGTTTCTTTTAGTTTTTAAAATTATTACATTTAAAGTGTTTTATTAAAAAATTCAACAAACAACAACACTTGTATTCTCTTTTTTACCTTTATATCTTATTATTTTATACATATCAAAACAAATATGTCAAATCTATCAATCTCCTTTTAAAGATAATTTTGTCATTTCTCTTAATCAAATATACCTCCTAGAGCTATGTACATAATTAATTTCAGACACAAATAATGGGACAAGAGAAATATATATTTAGAGATAATACTCCCTCTATAATTATTAGGTGGAGTTTTCCTAATTATGAATATAAAGTAACAAATTTGTCACTAACGTTATCGATTTGTAATAAAACAGTCACTTGTCGTTAAAGGAAGTTCTTTTATCCTCCATTGCGAAATAATTTTGGTTACTTTAAGCTTTGTGATCAAAAGATTTTTTTACGCTGACATCATTGTAAACAAGATGAACAAAAGTTGTTTTATTCATGCCCTCGTGCTAGTGATGGAAAGGACGTAAGCTCCATTAGAGTTATTAGTTTTACGCAAATAAATTATTTCTTGCTTCTTGCTGTCTCTACCAACATACTCCATAGCTCCATCCGCCACAAAAGTAACGGAATGCGATAATAAAGATCAATACATTCAACACTAAGACGTTTCAAGCTACCTTCACAAGCTGCTCGCACATAAGCAGGGTCACCCTCCTGATGATCATAAGTTAAACAAGTCAAAAATAGTTGGATTAGAAATTAAATGGGTTGTTTGAGGATTTAGAAACAGACACAAATTAATTCCAAGAGGAAATTGAAATGCAATGAAATTGAAATGCATGATTGGTGCAACCTATAGCGGGATTAACTACAAATATTATTGAAAATGAAGCTCCCATGATCCCATCCCAAGTAATAAATGTCATATTCTAATGATGTAAAATCATGATTACGATTCATTTCGGAGTCAATTAAGCTTTTGATTACGATTTATGGTATCTTCCATCTACCACGTCTATTAAAGACTATTAATGTTGAGTGACTAGTTTGTAACCAATCGATAACATTAGTGATTGATTTATAACTTTTGAAACATCAATGGGGAAAATGAAAATATCCCAAACATTAGTGACCAACTTTGTAGTTTACTCTAACCTTTATTGTAAATTTTTACATGCCGGAGCCTCATTATACTCCTGGGTTGGTCAACTCGATCCGATTTAAAAAATATTGAGAACATTACAAAAAGTAATGAGCCTAATTGGACGGCTAACGACTAGAGAATATCATAGCCTTTATTGTATCCAATTTCTTATACCATGGAGCCTCATTATACTCCCGATTAGGGGAAACTAAAACTCGACTCGGTTCGATTAAAAAAATCGATTTATTTAATTTTGAGTTATACAAATCGAGTTATTCGAGTCAAATTAAATTATCAATTCAGTTTTTGAGTTCGATTCAAGTTAAAATTTTGAGCTACTCGAAAAACAAAAAATTTGATTAAATATTTTTGATAGTTTTACTATTTAGTCTCTATTTTTATTTGTCCTTTAATTTTTTCTTCATTGTAAGTCAATTTTTTTTTACTAAATTTGAACTACATACTCTTAAACCATCGTAGAATACATATGTACTTTCAATTATTATTTTTTAATTTAACCCCTTAAATTTTCATAATTTTCTTATTTATTCAATTCATTTTTTTATTTTAAGTATGTTTTATGCCGAATTTGAACCACATGCTTATATAATCAAATAAAATACCTATGTAATTTCAATTCTTACTTTTTTTTACTAAAAGTATATATTTAGTCCCTTAACTTTACATTTTACTCAATTTGCTCTTTTGACTACAATTGTTTATAAATTATTTATTCTCATCAACTCTTTAATTCATTTATACTATTTTTGATATTTTACCCACAAAATATTTTCTTTAAAATATAAATATTATGAATATATTTTACAATTTTAGATTGTACTTGATATATTTAATAATATTATAATATGAAAATAATATAATATGGTTAAAGAAAGTAAAAAAAATTGAAACAAATCATTGCCATAATACTATAAATAATTATAATAAAATCAGTATGAAATTTTAAATAATTCGATTCAACTCAAAAAAAATTAAATTTAAAGTTAAATTCGAATCGTAAAATATAATTTATTAAACTTAAATAATTCGAAATTTTTTAACTGGAGGAATGCTCACCGCTGCTCTCGGCGACCAAAACGACACCTGATATTATCTCCGCCAAAGTAAAACAAAATGAAAGCGCGGGAAAATTTGCATCTCAATTGGCGCCACAGGAGCCCTAATCGGCCATTTACAATAAAAGAGAGAGAGAGGGAAAAGGCTCCCCCAATCGACCAATCTTCGAACTGTAATGCTTTTTTCTCCCTCAGTAATATTTCATCTTCCCATTTATCAAGCAAAATTATCATTTGACCTAAATCATTCTTCCCTTGATCTGATTCCACCATCACTCAATAGCCTAGCCTTTTTACAAGGTTCTTCACGAATCCCCACTTTAAAGCCCTATTTTCCTTACGGTGAAAAATGGACACGGAGGGCTTATCAGGAATCTGTGCTAGTCTCGGCATCCTCGAAGAAGACCAGACAACGAATCGGATGGTATACACAAAGGGGGAGCACTGTCCAGGTAGTCGTTTGCTGTTCTTGAAGTGAATTTTCCTTTGATTTGTATCTTTTTTTGTTATTCAGCTAATGTAAATTGGATTTGACTAATTTAGTTTCAAATAAATTACTTCCAGATGCTTTGAAGGATTTACTGCGATTTTTAAGACGGGACGATCCGCAAACTCGAGAAGTATTTAAGCAAGTTTGTAGATGGAATATCGTTTCAAAAAACTTGATTCCAATCATTGAACATTGCCAACGTGATCGCAATTTGGTGTTAAATTCCGGTATGTAAGGATTTGTTGTTAATTTTTTGCACATTTAAGCCAAAAAAAAGTTGTAAATGCTTAATTAGTGAGTAGTTACGTTTTTTTTTCCTTGCATTTTCCAGTGAAAGTTTTAGTTTTTCTGTCAATGCCTATCGAGCCTTCTTCTAGTGATATCCCTCAACAGATAGAGTATCTTTGGAATTTGAAGTTTTCCGTCACGAGCAGTGATGCTGTTGCTGTTATAGTTTCCCTTCTCGAAGGTCCACTTGAAAATTTGGAATGGTGAGCACGTAAATTTCTTCTTTTTCCAATAGGCCCTTTAACTGCTTGCTTAAGGTGCGGGAAAAAAAATAAAAAGCGTTGGTCAACAAAAACAAATGAGTTCTACCGTTTATGAAACATTAAGAATAGAAGATCTAGATAAGGTCATTAGATGGTGTTTTTTAGGAAGTTCATTTTTTTCATTTATATTTAATTCATCTGTGCCGTTAGATTCTCCTTTATTCAGTATGTTGACAGAAGCCTCTTCAATTTCAGTGAATTGTTCTCCGAGGATGATTGGAAATTGCTCCAGCTGGTGTTAACCTTCTTTCGTAACATTCTTGCCATTCAAGATATTTCATCTTTACAAAAGGCTGGCCAATTTTTATCATTGAGAGACAGATTTCTTGAACTTTTATTCCGTGAGAATGTGATGGACTTGGTTATTGTTATAACTCAGCAGATTGGTGGTTCTCGGGGCTATCTTCGTCAGGATAACTTGCTTATGTTAGAAATTTTTCATTACATATTTATGGGTCAAGAACCAGAGTTGCTTGTCAAAGCTCATTTGATGGGATCTGAGGTTTGTTTCTCTTTTTTCTTCTCTAACTACCCAATCTCAAAGTTGATTAATGCAATTTACATTACCACATGCTTGTTTCTAATGATCTCTGTATGATAGGAGGGTGGAGATGCCAAGGCTTGCATTGATGATCTTAAGTCTATCATGGAAGAGGAAGCAAAGAAAAGAAGGGTTTCAAGACTCCAGCGTGCCAATCGTCATTCACAGTTTAGTGGAACATTTACACGTCTCACTATGGTATGTGGTATCATTGTAATTGATGTTTTGATTTTACTAAGCAGGAATTTTATTAGGACATCTAATCTAACTACTAGTCGTGTTTATCTGACAGGGTGGTTCTACAGTAGTGCACAATGGAAACCCTAATAATATTTCGCAAAATGCTCTGCTTAAATCTCATAATAGCCATGGGATTTCAACTCAAAAAAACATGCGGGGGAATGGAGATCTACCTTCAATGAGGAAAAAGGTTCTGGCATTGCTTCATGATTTTGTGAACCAGTTTCTTTCTGGAGGCTACAATGGTACACACTCTGGATTAGAAATACTCGCTTGTTTTATATCATCCCATCCCTACTTTTCCTTTTTCCTTATCCTTCATATTTCCGCTGATATTTAAATGCATAACTGAATACGTGTCAGTATTGATGAAATCCGTTCGTGAGGATATTGAGAAGGAACATCACACAGTTCAGAAGGGCGACATAATTATTTTCTTCAAGGTTACTGAGTTCGTTACTTCTTTTCAGTATCACAAGTGTTTGACCTCAAAGGTGAGGACTACACCACTTTTACTTTTTTTTACCCTGTAGACACCCTATATCCACAGACAAACTTGTTGAAACTCTGAAATTGATCTTGTGGTAATTTTTCTCTGTCGAATAGAAGTAAAGATGTGGTTGTATATTGTAACCTTTTTGAAAGTTAAAATTGGTTACTGTTCCAATTTGAAACCTTAATCTCTAAGGATTTTAGTTTTTGTGCATTAGCTTCATTTCTTTAGGTTTGATTTTTCCTCCTTTCTGACATAGTTGATAGCTTTATTAAATCACTTTTGTTGCACTGGACATGCCCTTTAACAGCCAAGTGCCAGTAATGCTACTTCTGAAGCTTCTGCTGAAAAATGTGCTGATAGCACATTTTTCCAAGGGGACATATGTGGACCAATTGCGGCATCAATGAATGAATCAATGTTCCAACTTGTGATTTCAAGATGGCAGATAGCATTTGAAGGCTTGAAGGAAACTAATGATTACAAGTTTCTATCTGCAGCTAGTTCTCTTTTGAAAAATATGGTGATGTGTACTTTTATCATCTTTAATTTCATTTGTATTTGAGTTTGTTAATTGTTGAATCGAATATTGCTATGTTGATTAGCCTTTATGCCGTTCTCCATACTTGCAACCTAAGGTATATTTATAAATGTATTTGCTATCTACTATGCTTAAAAAGTTAAGCATTTGCCTATATTATATATTAATCTAGGAAAATAATCTTCCTTTGTATGTATAAATAAAAGATGTGCATTTGACACTTTCAGATATGGCCAATTCTTCTTTTATGGGGATGATGATAAGTCATCTGTTAATATTTGGAATTAAGAGCAAGCAGTTTCTACTTTATCAAGGGATTTTAGCTCTATTACCTTGGTTAACTAATCTACTTCGTACTTACATGCTATCCCTATTTAATGGTTTCCCCTCTTTGTTTTTGAATGCAGATTCGTATGTGTGATTTAGTGCTTGATTTATTTCCAGAAGATTCTAAGGAGCCTCAGACAGCTCGCATCCTTCTTTACAAGCTATTTTATGATCAGACGGAGAAAGGAATGACCCAACTCATTCTGAATCAAATAAAAATGTTCAACTTTCACAAGCAACCCAAAAGGTTTTTCGTTTCCTCCCTCAATCTAAGAAAAACTAGTGTTGATATTAACAGCTGCGTTTGTAACCATTTTCAATAACTTTGGTTTTGAATTTTGTATTTTTTAAGCTGTTACGCATGCTTTTGAGAACTACAATCTTATATAAAGATGTTTTATACGTCCCCCACCCCTCATGTTAACACATTTATATATTTATGTACACTGAGTGATGAGGTAACCACCATATATGTTCTATAGGTACATGTTGCTCTGATATGTAATCTTTTACCTTTTAATTTGTTGTTCTGTGAATATGTATAAAAATTGTTTCATGGTGGCTAGTATGTTTTGCTATTTCTGATTTTTTTTTCTTTTAGCAGTGATCTTACAGATTTGGTAGAAACGATGCATGCAATTATGCAGCTCATGGAGAATCTTCAAGCACGTGGATCATTAAGGGTATGTTAGGATTTAAATTTTCTGGTGGATATGCACTGTTATCGTTATAATTTAGCAGATGAATGCCTTGGTTCCATGATCTGCTTTAGCGCATGGAAAACAAAAAACTGCAAAATATGCAATCACTGTTAACCAATTCTTATTTTGATGTCAGTCATCATTAAGAAAAGCGATAACTGGAGTTGTTTTGAACTTTTATATATATTTTTGGTCCCACGGAAGTGGTTATCTTTATATATTAACTCATGGATTAATGGTCTTTTAAGTACTTTGTAGATACTGAACTGTTGGGTTATATCATATATCTGACTCAATCATTCTCTAACTACTAAAATGCATTAAACGAAGTGTTCCTTTGAATCAATTTTGAGGGTCCTTTAATCTTGCATGAAACCATTCTCTAGCTTTTTCCGTCTACAGTTAAATTCTATGAAAAAGTCCTTTAATTTATAATGCTATCCTCCCATTTATCTCTCCATGTGTATGCCCTTTGTGCATAAGATCTATGTTGATTTTAGAGCCGATACACTTACATCATGCTTCGCTCCTACAAATTTCTAGTTTTTGCATGCGTCAATTCTGAAGAGCTTTCTTCTCTTCTATTTTTTCTGTTTTAATCTGCACTGAAATGCCAATTACTTGACTAAGGTTTCTAGAAAATCAAGGAAGGGAAAGAAGAAGAAAGCAGTGAGTGACAATGTTACCAAAAGTGAACAGTTTGAAGACCATGCTGCTGCAACTTATGTGGATGGTTCCTCAGTATGTGAACGACCAGCAGATCATGTGAGAGAACAAGAAATCCCAGTGAAGGAGACGTCTGATCTGAAAGAAGATATTAATATTTCTCTCTTGGTTGACGAACTAAGAACCTATGAGACTAAAATGGGAAGTCCTCGAGATATGCCACAGGTTGAAAATAAAACACCTGGTCACGTTGATGATAATCTTTGTTGCAGCACTGATGATTGTTCTGGCGATGAACAAGCTGTCACTGTTAATGAAGTTGATTTTGACGTTTCTTCTCTCATTTCAGCCTTTGCAAACAGCAGCTTTATTCAAAATTTATGCTGGTTGCTTAAATTTTATAGGAGCAATTCCATTAATACAAATCAATACATTATAGGCTTTTTACGGAAGATAACTGATGACCTTGAGCTTGCTCCAATGCTTTATCAGGTCAAAACTTGGAACTGCATTTTATTTTTAATAGAGAAAATGGACAAAACCTAACATATATTTAATTTTGTATTAATTTTTGCAGTTGTCATTCCTTACAACATTCTATGACATACTAGAAGAGCAAAAGTTGTCTCCAAGTGAGGAATATGCAGATATTGTTGGCTTTCTTACTAGTTTGGTCAGGAAAATGATGAAGAAAATGAAGCACCAGCCCCTTCTTTTTATTGAAATTCTTTTTTGGAAGACACGTAAAGAATGCCATTACATTAATGCTGAATATTTATTGCATGAACTGGGCCATTGGAGGAAAGGAACCGGAAATGAAGATAGTGTTCCTGGAATTGCAGAAGTTGGGTCCTCAATGGCAGGTGAATGGGTTCGAAGAAGCATAGCAGATGCACTGGGTGAAGATGAAGCTGATGTTGAAATCTCTCATGACATAGGATCAGAAGTAAGAGATGTTTGCAATTTAATGCATCTGACTTTATTATTTTAGGTTTCATTTTAGTAGGATATTTTAGTAGTTCAATAAACCATATGAACTGGCCATATTTTCTGAACTAAGATGACTGATTGAGAAACTGCATATTGGTGTATTTGGTTGGTGCAGTGTGGAAAACTCCTTGGAAAATGAATCTGGAAAGATTCGCGAAAGAAAGAGAAGGTTTGTTTTCAATGATGACATGGAGGCGAAACTCAAGGAAATCTATGAGAAGTAAGTTCCTTTTGATCCTGTGGTCTCTCTTACAAGCTTTTATCAATTAGATCTTCCTTTTTCTCTTCAAAATATGATGCATCCACTTGCGGCCATTAAAAGCAAACGCATTATCTGGATGATCATTGCTATTCTCCATGACTACTAACAAATTAAATTATCGCTCTCCACCCATTTAGTAGAAGTTCTTATGTTCATTCAGAAGTTTCTGAAATTTGCACCTTTTCGGCTTTGGAAATATGTGTTGCAGCTTCAAAGACCATCCGAACTGTATCCGTCTTATTGCAGAATCCCTAGACCCTTCTGGTGGAATTTTGCCTGCTCAAGTTTCGAACAAGCTTAAACAGTTAGGACTTAAAGTTGCACCAAGAAAAAGGATACGGAATGATGATAGACTTTTCATTGATGATTCTGATCAACAAGGGGATGGAACCACTCTTAATGATTCAAATAATTTAGAAGAAAGTTCACAAAGGCAACAACTGTAAGTATTTATTTGTTTGTAAGTATTTATTTGTTATCTGTTATCTGTTATCTGCATTGCTTGTTATAGTCAAGTACTCTTCTAAGAGTTTCTGGAACAACTTTTAATGCAACAATGTGGTGTTCTGCCATTGAAATTGTAACTTTGAACATGCACGAATGACAAAGCATTTTTTCTGGCATGAATCTGTTATATTTATGCTCACGTTCTGACCTAATGTCTTAAACAGAAGCACCAGAAAAAGAGTCTGTGCCTTCGGCAAGGATCAGGCAATGATTAAAGATCTATTTGAGCAGTGAGTACCGGTTTACTTGTTTTCTTCCTAAATTCCTTTTTTCCAATTGGAGTGAATTGATATGTTTTTGCATGTAATTCTATTTTTAATTTCCAGCCCTCGTATTGATTCTAAATTAAATCATAAAGAGAAACTATATGCCCGAAGAGGGATGATTAAATAATATTGAATGGTTGTATGTATACGTTCGTGATAAGTAATTAGTAATTTGTTTTCTATGCAGATTTAAAAATCATAGGAGGTGTAGTTACATGATTGCAAATGCACTGGATGCCGATAATACGTTTACTGCTGCCCAAATTTCTCGCAAACTCAAGCAACTTGGTTTATACGTTCCTAAGAAGAAAAAGTCTGAAGATAACATGCTGTTGAGGGATGAGGAACCAAATGAAACACATGACTCCGACAATGAGACATTGATATCCTTTAGGAACAGGTAGCTACAGATTTATCAATTTCTTAGTTATTTAGTGCATTAATTTGCTCAATTTTCGTGGCTCCATTGTTTTATGAACTTATGTCAATTTCCTGTTAGCATGATTTCAATGTTTTCTCCTGGTCTTGTGGTTTAGAACTACCTCAGATGAATGGAACTGTAACAGTTTGCCAGCATTGGTTAAGATTCAACATTTCAAGAGAGTTGTTAACATTTGTTTTCACCTTTGAACTTTTTGGAAGCAGAAAAATGGATAATGGATTGTTCAACCCAGAGTCTCCAGGACACGACGGCGAAAGAAAAATATCAGATGACACTGATGATGAAACCCTAAGTTCTGTTCTCAGGTAATTCTCACTCAGATTATCACACGCTCAAACTCATTCCTACATGTGGGCATGTTTATTACTCAGAAAATTCAATAGGCTAGGTATAAAAGAAAATACCCGTGTTTTTGTAATTCTGGATTTCTATTTCTATTTCAAGGAAATCTATGCTTTCTTTGCACGTAAACATGTTGGTTACACGATAAGCAACGCCATAACTTAAGGAAAAGTTCCGTTCTTTCAATAAATTTTATCTGTCGATCACAGGAAAACTAGAAAGCTCCCTTCAAAGTCAAAGGATGAGAAGCATGCAGCAGTAATCACCGAGAGGAATGACAAAATCTCTGGAGCTCAAGTCGAAAATGACGAGACCGAAAGGTTTGCAATCCACCTTATCAAGAGTTCATACTTTTAATACGGTTTGCATAATAGAGTACAACCTTGTCTTTTTCATAGGGATGGAAGCAGCCGTACACTGAGATGGATGTTACCATCCACCATGATAGCAAGGAGGGCACTTCAGAAAGCAGCAAAGCTATCACATGTTTTGCCGGAGACCGGTGAGGTTGAAACTGTGCTGGAGCAAGTGGAAGACGAGTTGGCCGATTCAGGAGATGATGCAGTGGTCGATTCATTTGTGGAAAGCTCAATCAACAGAAGAAAACGGAGGATGGTGATTGATCCTGAAGATGATGATTAGATCAGGAGCACATTCAGGTTTCTCTCATTCTCTGTTGCCGGTAACATCTCAACATCTACCGCTGCTCTGGAAATCGTAGGATGAGTTTAAGATACTCAAATAAGCAGGTACTGGTAGAGAGCTGATGTATAGAATTAATTGTTCTTTTTTGAAGCCTTATTTAGTGTTTAGAAAGTTAATAGTCTGTGTATTTGGCTTGTCAGTCCCTTGAGACAACTTTCTAAAGCTTTATTAAGGTATTAGTTAATCCTTTGTATTATTTAAAAGTCTTGTAATTTACAAGTAAATGGCAAAACTATATTTGAAGTACAGACATGCGATGAATCACATTGTCACTGACGAGATTAGCTCTTCCAAACACTGGCAACAAATGGCATGCTCAAACGTGCATGCAAAATGGAAAATGTTGATTGTCAAACCCTGGGTTTACAGTTAGGCTCTGATCGGCAAATGAAATTGGCAAACCATTAAGATATTCTGTCTTCAAAGTATGGAAGTTACTCGAACTGAGTTATCTGCTGATCCGGTCAAGAAAATTGGCAAAGTTGGGTGCCAATCCACGGTTGTTATAGCTGCACTGTGTGGAAGAGTTCTGAGCCCGCTTGAATGGCTTTGTACCTGACCATTGATAAGGACGAGAACAAATGAACATATATTGTAAAGGCCAAATTGAATTGTTTTGATATTGGCCAATGGTTGTAAAAAAAAAGGGGGGCTAATATGCACCTGCACGCTTGCATGGCTACATGTATGAAGAATTCACCTGATATATGGGCGCTCTTACAGAACCAGATGTTACTAAGAGCTGCCTTCCATTAGCATCCAACGCCATTTCATGTCTACAGTATTTTGATGTGTCGGAGTTGGAAAACCTACAAAGTGTAATACCCATGTAACTAAATTTGATCCGATTAACACATGTAAGCAGATAGAATACGACCATCAATAATGTAGTCAATGAAGGCAACAGGCGAAACAGGTACAGTAAAAAAAACCAATGCATGGCACATAAACATAATCTATGAGATCGTGCCTTCTCTTAGGCAATATAAAGGGGACGCAAGTGATATATCTCCTAGGGTGTTTAGACTTTAGTCAACAAGAAATGAAAAGTACCCATTAGAAGTTTTCGACCAAAGGATACGACCTTGGTTTTGCAAGCTCCATTCAAATATCTGACATTGAAAAACCAACCCGTGAGTCGACTAGCTTAAATATAAAACCATAGACAGAACATAGCCTAGCTTCAATAGCATGCATTTGGATTTTGATTCTCCAGCCATAATCAACATCCGGACTAAAACACTTGCCTTTCCATCTGAGCCCAAGCTAAAATGCTCGTCTCATCGGGCCCGAAAAGAAGTGAGCTTATTGCAGAATCATGTGCAGGCCACCCGGTGATTTGTAAACCAGCAGACATGTCTTTGACCAGTCAAGGAGTATTCATATTACATTCTAGGTTCAGCACAAACGCAACACTGCAAAAATGAGTATTCTCCTCCTTTCTTGGTTATTTCTGTGCCCTTCAGCTAGAGGGCAAACCAAGCCAATGAAGAAACAGGAATGACACACTCAAACCGAGTTTTCTAAGGTACTGTGATCCATGTAGTAAGTAAAAAGTAGGTGTCTCTGGTTAACATTAGAATTGTAATCGCGTAACAGAACAAAATCTATTAAAGCAAAAATATGAGGCCATAAAGAAAAGGATACCAAACATGTGAATCATTCCATCGGTGGCAGAGGCAGCTAAGATCTTCCATTGTGATTGAAGCATAGGGAAGTAATTGCAGGCGGATCTTCACCAAGAGGAAGGACTGTCTTCAGTGAAATGAAGTTTATTACGGCACAAGTTATTTTTAAACAAGGCACTTATCATTAATAAGCATTCTCTACACATACAACCACATACCATAACTTTCCATGTTTTCATGTTCCACACGGTCAACGAAGCATACCCCAGAGAGTCAATAGAGCTTGAACCAGACCTGAAAGGATTACACATCCAACTAATCTCACACCCCCGATATTATTTTACAAAAAATGGGACAGCAGAAAAGCTATACTATGATAACAAGCAAGCAATCTTCCAATGGATTCTATATAGTTGCTACCCACAATACCAAAATGATATGAGAAATTTCTCAGCAACCTAGCATATTGAAAAAAACCAAATTGTGGATCACTGAGTAAGTGACAAGCACAATGAATAATAATACACGCCTGTGGAAACAAGAGGGTATGTAGAGCTGGGTCTATACCTTCGTGATGATGTGGCAGAAACAAATATGGTTCTACAGGGCTGCACTTTAAATCCAACACACTGAAAGATGGCAAGAAAAAAAAAATGAAGCCTAAAATAACTAAGAAACCACTAAATATGGTATTCTAAGTTAGTACCTTGGAAAGGCCGCAGTTGTATTCAGATCACAGACAACTCTCTTTGCATCAACATTCCACGCTTTTATGCCTTCATCAGCTGTGCCTATGAGAAGCTTTAGGAACAACAAAATTTACAATTATAAATTTTAAGATGCAACAATTATAACAATATCATACACAATAAAACTTCATGTAGAACCATCAATAATAACATGGTTACATACCAAACGGTCAGATTTGCATTCCCAGTCAAGTGACATTATCTCAGCTCCACAATATATGGTCGCATTTCTAGATGCCGGAATTGATGAGTCATATGTCCATATCCTTCATCAAAAAGAAAAAGACAAGTAAATCAAAAGTCAGCAGACAATAACTTTACAGAGCACAATAACTAGTACAAGTGACACCTTATTGTATACTCGTCTACATTTAACTAGATATCTGACAGGTAATTTTGTTAAAAACCACAGTCTGCAGTCTGCACATGGCAGTAACCCATCTAATCAATATTTGTCAATTGTCAGATTGCAAAGACTTTTCCTTCTGTTTTCTGTTCTATTATATTAGATGTTCATCAACTATTGGGTAGTATAGACACTCAAAACCCTGCAAGCAGCTGCAGGAAGCAAAATGCTTAGTTATACATATTTACAAATTTATATCAGCTCCTTTTAAAGAGCGTACCTGACAGTGCCATCTACAGATGCACTAGCTATATTGTTCCCAGATGCAGAAAACCGGCAACGAGTAATTGGACTTGTGTGGCCCAAAAATGTCTCCTGGAAAGAAGGTTGTTCCAGCAGTTTCATACATAACAAAATGAACAAGAAATCGATGTATATAAGAATGATGTTTGAATATATCTTGCCAAAGAACTTGCCTGAACTCTATTCTCACTTCAGGAAATTCTTCTTCTCTGAGCATTTCTCTGCCATTGTCTGTGAAATAACAATCAGTAAGTACTCAAACCCAATAAAGCAGAGGAAAAGGAGCATTTAAACAAACCTACTTCACTTGCATCCAAAATTCCAACACATTGAAAACAAAAATGATGACCACACAGTTCTCCTTAGTATTTTCCTCTCAAGCTACCAAGTGAAACCACACTTGCTGACAGCATGCATAATCTTTTCCAATATGGTCATATTGCTGCCACATTAAATTAAAATCTAAGATGGAGGGTTTGCAGAAATGTTACTTATCATCAAAATGTTTACCATGGGACTTTTGAGCATTATCACCGATTCCACTGGATGAAGCATGAAGACTTGAAGCAGAATATAAATCTTGCCTAGATAAGGACTCAACATGGGCTGATACAAATTTGGTAGGTTCAGTAGCAGCACGATCCTCATCCTGTGCTATTCTACCCAAATGTGAGGTTGCATGAGCAAATATATCCTCACTTGTAGATGGGTGTAACTTTTCACCATCAATGCCACTTGATAGAATAGAACTATTAGCTGCTCCCACGCTCCTATGAAACGTTCATGCAACATTGGTATCATAATACGTTCAAATAGAATCATTTTTAATTATGAGATGCAGCAAGTACTACTACGATCTAGCAAAATCAGAAGATCCTTTACCTTTTTGATAGACCCAACTGTGCATCCTTTTCCTCCAGTAAAGCCTGAAGTTGTAATAACTTTTGATTAAGACGCTTGTTGTCTTTCTTAAGATTGCTAATTGCATTCTTTTCTGAACTGATCTTCAGTAGGGCAGGAAGGCGTGCTTTGGTTAAGGACATTCTTCAAAATCCCATCATTAATTGAAACACTCTAATGTCAAGGAAAAATTATTGTATCCAATGCTACGCTCACACTTAATATCTACTAGTAATACAAAAAATCACCAAAATGGATATCCTTTTCGGAAAGCCTTTGAAGACCAATTTATTTCCAAATGCAGAAAAGTTCTGTATTAAGTAATCCCTATGGGCTCTTTGTTAAACTACGCATAATTACATACGCAATTTGTGTAGAGCAGTTTGAGAAGGAAAACATCAATTCTAAAGGATATGAGTACCACCGAAGATCTCACTGAAAAAGTTCCTCACAGAAAGACAGAGAGCTGCATACCATTCCTTGGAGAAATAAACACGAAACTGAGGATCCATGCTTGGATTCTTCAAATAAGGAATTGCTGCATTACATACTCAACAGAATCAGTCAACACGAGAACACAAATGAAAGAAGCCAAAGCAAATGAACCTACCCAACCAAGGGCTCCAATCACAACTCTTTAGAAGCAATCATTTCCATTCATTCCAAAAACTCTACAACTTTATCTTTCCTCCCAGATTGCAATGCATGAACAATGTAACCCGAAGAACAGAGCCCTCCAATTTCGACAAGGTATCAAGCATCGTAGTGTCCGACCAGGATGAAAGCATTGCTTAAAGAACTAAATAGACCAACTAATTTCTCGGCCTGAAATTTAGGAATATAAACGGAAAAAATCAAGTCCGATATCTTATCAACTTGAAACCCTTTACCAATATCCGTACACAACTCAGTCTCAAAAGCTTGTAATGTATTTGTAAATCCTCTGAAGACCAAATATTCCCTCACAAGCTCCTCCGCATATTGCATATTCTCCATCCATACAATCTACAGAAACAACGATAAACTTTCAGCATTCTTAACTAGCTGAATCCTTGGATCCATCAATATTGATCAAATTATCGTAACAAAGAAAAAAGAAAACAAATTGATGAAAAGAAAACTTTAACCGAATCATGAATATGAAGAATACCAAATTAATTAGGGTTTGG